AAAGCGTTACATCGCAATGTAGTGGAAACCACAATTATAACTGGATGTGCGCAAGGGGAAAGTGTATTTGTACCAAGAATTCCTTTGATCCCGAATGATCTTCCCTTTGAATTCAAACGAATATAGTTTCCCCTTAAAGTCTGCTTTGCAATGACCATAAACAAATCACAAGGGCAGACATTAAAATTTGCGGGTATAGACTTGAGAGAAAATTGTTTTTCACACGGGCAATTCTATGTAGCTTGCTCACGCGTAAGCTCGCCCAGTAGTCTGATAATTATGGCACACCGTAATAGATTAGCACACAGTAAAAAATGTGGTATATAAAAAAGTTTTGTAAGTCTTATACCAGCAGACTCTTTTTCACACATAGACGCGATATAACCGAACTCCACGCGGACGAACTCGCGGGAGCTAGTTCCATAATAAAACCGTGTACTAAAATTTATGTCAAATGAAAATACTTATTAGATATTCATTAAATCATGTTGAGAATACATTTTATAAAATTGTTTTTATTTGTATCTTCAAATATAAATAAAGTCGAACAGTTCAAGCACTCGCACTCGACTGGCCAGTGCCCGCCGAGATATAATATGAGTACACTCGTATCGAGGTTGAACGTACGAGTTATGTTCTAAAAATTCTATCCAATTTAGTGCTGTTCTCTCAACAAAAGCGGCGATTGAGGTAACGTTTTCATAGCTACACACCAACAAGACGGCCTTAAGCGATGCTATTGATATTTCTTTAGAAATTAGATTTTTTGCAGGTTTTTATGATTAATTACTAATTTACATCCCCCTTATGAAAAAATCTATGGGGAGGCCTATGTTGCTCAGTAGACTTTAATAGAATGTAATTAGTGATTTCATAAATTAATTTCATGATATTAGACGAAAGGACTAATATTACTATTTGAGTATTCCGTTGGATCATCATCTCAATAAATGGATTATAGAGCACGATTATGTGCGCACCATTGAAATACCGCCAAATTCCTGACTCCGGGCTGCTATGGAAAATTGGCAGTAGCAGCAGGCAGGATGTCTCTATAAATAAATAGATTTTTGACCCGACCCGAGATACGAACCCGGAACCTTGTGATCAACAGTCATGCTTACGACCACGAGACCAATGAGGCAATCAAAAATTATGTTGTGGGTGTACGGAGTGAGGAGAATTCGCCGTTTAGTTAGTTTGGCTTAGTTTAATTTATCATGACATTATTATTATTACGAGGGTGACACTGAGTTCTTAGAAAATCAAAAACTGAACAAACTAGCAAATTATTAGTTTTATTATGTATATTTTTTCAAAATAGGGTCCGTTTACACCAATACATCGCTGCATCCGATGGAACCACTGAGAAAAGCACTTGCCCACTCGTCCTTAGGGTTCTCTTCGACGGAATTTTGAAACCGAGCCACTGCTTCCTCGGCGTCCATAAAACGTTTTTATCGATGTTTTTCTTTTATTTTCGGAAATAAATAAAAATTGCAAGGTGAGAGGACGGGGCTATAGTGCAGGTGACTCAGTAATTCCACGTTTAACGTCGCCTAGTAGTCGATTGTTCGCTTGGCGGTGTGCGACGAGGCGTTGTCGTGGTGAAGGAGGATACTACTGCGAGGTCGTTTCTTCCGAATTTTTTCCAAGACAAGTGGCAAACAATTGTTAGTATACCACTCTGTAGTAACTGTTTTTTTGATCCTCTAAAACAATTGTTGCGTAATTACTTGTACTTCCGAAGAACGAGTTCACCATCTTTTTTCCCACCTCTCTTCACTTTAGGTGGCAACTCCTCGGAAGGAAACACCCAGACAGCAGACTGTCTCTTAGTTTCAGGAATATAAAAATAAATCCAGCTTTCCTCACCCGCAAGTATGTCGAACACAGCATTTGAGTCACCTCCGTTAAATCTTTGAACCATTTCACGACACCAATCAACACGACGGAGTTTTTGAGCCTCTGTCAAATTATGATTTATCGACCGGGCACAAAGCTTCCTGACCGCTAAATGTTCATGAAAGATTTTGTGCACTTAACTCACGCTTTTGTCAGTGTCATACGCCGCACAACACTTATCTTCAGTCGTTGCCGTAGAAGACCGACCCTCACGCAGATCATCGCTGAAATTAGTGCGACCACGTTTAAACTCACTGAACCAGTTGTAAACAGTGGCACGAGATGGGGTTTCATCGTAGAAGGCCAATCGAAGTCTATCGTAACTTTCTTGTTGACTTAAATGACATATAAATTCATAAATAAAATAAATAATTAAAAAAATCAAAAACCCGACTGCAAAAAAGACAATTTAAAACTAACGCACTAAAACGACCGAAGCAAGATTGAAAATAGAAAACAAAATTGAAATAAAGTATTAACAAAGTGAACTCTACATCGGTTTAACAGACTATGACACTATGAGCTGAAAACCTAAGTTAAATATCCAAATGAAGCTTAGTAGCAGGCGGGACCTAATGGAAAATTATAAACCGAAAGAAAATTAATGGGTTCCGCTTGCTACCATACTTAATTTGGGCTTTTAACTTAGACAATTTCATTTTTGACTTTTTAGTGTCCCGACACTCTCTTATGAACTAAATTTCATTTGATAGCACGATGTCCGACACAAACATGGCCCATTTTACGTTTTTACCATTTTTTCAAAAACTTTAAACCAATTGATTATTCCTAATTAAATTTAAACATATAACTTATTAATTTCCTTTATTTTGGTACTCTACTCGATAGATTTGGTTAATTTATTTTTAACTAACGTATTACTATTTTGCGCCAAAAATCCGCCATTTTGTTTATTTTAAAAAAAAAGCTATCTAAGAACACTTGGGTTTCTAAGACGTATAAAGCGATACATTAATTATTGAAATCCATCGAGCCGTTTGGAAGATACGAGGTAATAAAGAAATTTACAAACATACAGATACGCGCGAAAAACATAACCCTTTCTTGGCAGTCGGGTAAAAAATCATTGTACGAAAATTTTCTCACGTTAAATTCATGCTGACGTGACAAGACAAATTTCAATTTGCCCCTAAATCGTAAACAAAAATGACAAAATAATAAAATACATACACAGTAATATTGGCAAAGAGTTCCATTTTCAAAATTTAAACTCATTTTTAATTATATCGTTTACAAGTGGCCTGTTCTAAAAACTTTCAGTGTCACCCTCGTATTATACATTTTGGCACAAAGTGTTTAGTTCTATGATACTCCCTGACATAATGAAAATATTTTACCTTTTAACGTCACAGTATTACAGCTTTAAAGTTGAAAACATTCCATGCGCATTCCTTCTGTAAAATGAAATAATATAAACCATTACTCTGTTTAAAATTAAATGTGACACCTCACGACACGCCTTTTTCCGAGTATTTTACTAGACTAACTTTTTCCGTATTCGCGTAGCGTGCTACACACAAATTTAATTTTGAATTAAAGTACATTTAAATGCAAAGCCCAGAGAAGAAGGTAATTAAGCTGAAGAAATGTACTGAAAACATTCTTAATTCTAAACCTTAATTCTTTTTACTTCAGTGCAGTTGAAGTAGATTACTTCGTATAAGTCATGGGCACTTGAACAAAATTACCTAAAGCTGAATAACGTTATTAAAAAATTCACAATCCTTATATTAATTACTCTAAAATATCTAAAAATATACATAATAATATACTAATTATAATTAGTTTCTAGATTTTTTCACAGTACCAAATACAATGGTTTCTTGATATAAAATTTGTCGTTGCCATATACGAGTACATCATCAGTCTGTTAAAATTAACTACTGGACATGGCAATCTCTTTTTGTAGAGTAGATTTGTCTAAATCGTCACGCCGTCACAGAGATAATATTTAAAAAAGGAGATAGGTGTTATCATTCGGTAAGGAACCGCCGTGTGAAATATGGATTTTTAATTTAGCTAAATAACGCACAATAAAATATAACCATTTAAATTTACTAATTAAAGAATCTGATATTATTGCACGCAGTATGTTTTAAATGGTCCTTTAAATTAATTCCGCTGCACTTTAAATGATTTCATCCTCGATTTGACTCTGATAGGCCAGTTCAAGTAGTCGATTGCACTTGTGCTTAACGTAAGCGATTTATAAAACGGGCCAATGCAGTCACGAGTGTTGCTCCGTTGGACGACAATTATTAACGATTGTACTTTCGTTTTAGTACTTGCCCTTTCGTTCACAATCTTATCTATTGTGAACTCATTTGAATATATTTATTTTAAATAACTTAAAGTTGAAGTTAAAGTTGTGATACAGATAGAGCTAGATAAACATGAAAAATATTATTCATTAGATGATTTCATTCCTATATCAGCATTAGACTACGCTATTATATCTATCTAATGTGGATAATACTTAAAATCACATTTGGGATACGTTTAGGTTTGATTGCATCGTAGTCATTAATTTTAATCATCACTTTTATTTTAGTTACTATAACAACAATAAATTCAATACAATATGTATTATAATAATACACAGAGTTTATATTTCCTACAAGTAATAAATTCACAAACATTGTAATAACTATATTTTGTTCGTTGCAACTATATGTCTATTATAATGTTCGTTATAACATAAAATACTTTTATGATTAAATGAAAATTATTATTGTGTACAAAGTCAAAAGAAAGAATTTGAAATTTATATTACACATTCTAATCGGTAAAATTTAGATTGATGATGCACGAGGTTTCCGGGATTTTGCATTTCCTTAATTTTGTATTATTTTAACATATTTTTATTTAATTTAATTATATACAATATTAAAAACTATAATAATAAAAAAAACCTAAAACTAGAAACTTTTTTATTTTTATTTATTTATTTATTTACACACACATACAACATACACAATCATTACAGGGTGAGTAACCTAATTCGACAGTGTAGCCAACGATACAATATGATATGCCATTTTACTGAGTTCACTCAGCGAACATGAAAATAAATCAGTTCGCTCCGACATGGTGTTGATCACACGCAGCGCGCGCGTGAACGGTGCTTGCTGCATCAGTGCAGTACGCGCGTGTGGCACTGCCAGTAACGACGGCTGCCGCCGACGCCCCGCGCTTCCGTCAGGCGCATTCAGTCGCACCATCTCCAACACTCTCGGGCTGTGTATCCTACCCCTGAATACCTTCAACACGTACACAGCGAGAGTGACTTCTCTTCTGACTTCGAGCTTGTAGTACCCTACCATACCAAGTAAAAAAAGAGTAGGATACAACAAGGGATATCCCTTAATTATCTTAATTATCATATAGTCCTACTACCCGCGGTATCGTGCCAAGAACGCTGGCTGCGTTTCCCCGCTGAACGGCTATACTTAGCCTTTGAGCGAGAAAAGAACCAGCCCTCTTATCACCAGCAGCAACGACCAGCCGCGGATGGAGTTCCTTTAGAAACTTCACTGCACGTGAACCCCACGGACCGATAGTCTCTACAGCAAATGGCACAAATATGTAGGCATCTCTCAGAGACTCATATTTGCGTCACTTACCCAGTTCAGCTGCCTCTGATGCCGCCCCGACTCTAAACGAGGTACCCCTGAGATGAGAGGCCGCGAGAGTGTCTACGCAAGTAGCATCCCAATTATTTAATTAGTAGTAAACATAGAAAAGGCACTATTTATTACATTACAAACAATTTTATCTGCTCGATCCATTCATCCATTCCTTCCATTACAGCCTATAAAAACCCACTGCTGAACATAGGCTTCCCCTATAGATTGCCTGGAGGGATTTTGCCATAATTGACACGCTTGGCAGGCAGGTTGGTAAACGCAGGTTTTTATTATTTTCAGTTGTTATCAGGAAGATGCTGCTGCTCATCTCCGAATTTACCGTTTCGTTTCTCCTCTGTCGCCTCTTACGACACCCAAGGGACGATGTGGGGTAGTGGATATTCTTCACCGCCACTACACGGTTGAGTGTCAGAGTCAATAAAGATTTATTGCATTATATCTGATAATGTATGCTTTTAAAAAGTATCTAGTACAATTTCTCAATATGAGAAGTAGTATAATGAAACTATACAAGTACGTAGCATATTCCGAATAAGATTTAGTGATAATAAATTTATCGAATATCGATTCTGTTAGTTTTGTCTCTCACAGCGTTGGTCCCAAACGCATAAGTCACTCCATTTGTCTCTAGGGAGGTCACGACCTTCGAACTGAACTATGGGCCACCAACATTCCGTAGAATAAATGTGTGTGCTCTCCCAGATAAGGGATCGGAAAAAATAAATTTCATACAGGTCGTTTGTCATGAGACAATTACATAAAACGGTCGTTTGTATTCCGATTAATGACCAATAGACCTCACCCGCCTAGAATCATAAGTAAAATATGATGTGGTCATATTAACATAACATAGGATTTATATAAAATGAAGGACTGAGAATAAAATTTGTATTTATATGTTTAATGTTACATAATCTCGCTGTTATTTAAAAATGACAGAATCTATTTAGTTAATACTTGTATCCTCCTCTTCGTCATTTTTAATCCTTTTGACATTAGCTTTTAAATTACTTGAAAGTGTTGTTAATACTGTTGACACAGCTCTCCTTTTCTCTGGAAACACCTGGGAAAATGTTTTCCAGAAATCTCAGACTGTTTTTAATATTGTGTGTGCTTGGCTAAGTGCGAACTTATTAACTCTAAATCATAAGAAAACTACATATGTATATGCCTTTTGCTATTCGCACCTCATCTTTACCTGGAGACATGCACAAAATCATTGCTCACTGTTGTGGTAATCCTAACACATTCCAATGTTCCTGTACCGTTTTGGGGAAGACTAACAGTATCAATATCTTAGTATATTATTTGACAACACCCTAACATTCCACTCTCATATTAAAAAACTATGTGGTATGGTGCGCAAATTAATTTTTGTATTTATAAAATTTACGAGTAGATATGATGCTAATAGAGAAGTCCTAAAATTGGCTTATTATGCCTTGTGCCAATCTTTATTAACATACGCAATTGATGACTCGGACGGAGCCGCCAAAAAACACATATTGTTGAACTAGAATGTGCGCAAAGAGATCACTTTTAAAAGTTATACATTTTAAACTTACCTATATCCAACTTCCTACCTATATCTGTATAAAATAAGCGAAGTTCTTACAGTTCGACAGTTGTTTGTGCTGCATATAGTTTTAAGACAACACACAATTACAAAAATAACTCAAAAGGAACTTCGCCGTATTCATCTTGTAACTTTCCTTGCAACTTATCTTCTGCAAGGAAATTCTTCACGTTTTGGGACCGTATTTATATAATAAATTACACCAAAAATTGTCTATTTATGAAGTTAACAAATGGTCATGTAAAAATAGACTCGTGAAATATCTTCACACTCTTTCACACACATACACTGTACAATTACTCCAAATAATCTCATAAATACACACAAACATACTAACAGTCACACACTCACATACATACGTATATACGTAAATGGTTTTTATTTTATTTTTCGTTTCTCTATAGCCAAACTGTTCTATATAATATAATTCGCTCTATATAATATAATTTCTAACCACAACAAATGTTATCTCTGTATATTATACTAAGTGCCTATTTAATTCGAGGGAGGGGGGGAGGTGACCTGTAATACTGGTCTTTGTACCTATACGGGCACCAGTCTGCCACGAATAAAATAATATTTTTAAATAGAGATGTAACACTAATGTTTCTTCTATGTTGTTTGTGCTGAGAAATAAATAAATAATTATATTATTATAGTATATTATACTCATTTCAACAGGCATGATTTATGACTACAGAAAAGTTTTTAACGCGGTAGAGCTACGCTACAGCGTATTATGGACGGACAAGTCTGCTTGACCAAGGCTTACCTTGTCACTTGGCTTAACATTGTCAATTCAACATAAACGTGGTCTTAATCACGCTTGCACAGAATACCAACTTAATAGCAGCGTGAAGCCGCTGTGTTATAAGTATTGTGAGTGACAAGAACTGATTCCCCCTTTTAACTAGTAATATGGTATTACATCATAGTAATTCAATTTCTTTGAGATTGATTTTGTGCTCGCTTTTCAACCGTATTTGTATAAAATGTCCTAGCATCGGAAGTGTTATATTGCGTATTGTTGGGATTTTTTTTGAATCTGTGAAGACCATGAACAGTTGTTCTTCTTAACCGTGAAACCTAGCAACTTTGTTATTTTTGGAAGGACTTAAAAGTTTAGGACCAAGTTAGACCTCATAATATAATAGACAACACTCTGAGTTATGATAATATGCTCCTTTAATTGTGTTGCAAATAGCAAAGTTTATTCTTGTGGCAAAGTTGCCCACCCATTTTTCATTTTTTCATACAAACTTGAAAATGTTTGTCAGTATTGTCAAAGTCCTTGATTACGAACTTTACTAATTTTTTTTATTTAAATCTTGTTACAATATTTTTTTAAACAATAATAGATAAAAAATACTCGCTCTAAACTTAAATAATTTAAACATATAGTATAGATCAAAAAAACTTTGTTTTCGCAATAATTTTTAATAAGTATTCGTTTTTTATTATGTAAAAAATATATAATTGTAATCAATCTAAATATTGTTTTTCCACAATTGCAAAATATATGATGATGATATGATCATTAAAAATTACATCGTTTTTAATTAATGATCGTAAATGTTTTGCTATTGTGGAAAATTGCTATGAGAAATAATGAGTAGTAATAATATTATTAAAACCCCATAATCTATCATATCATAAACGCCATCTAATATTGATTTTAGTTTTAAAACCTAGGCTTTAAAATAGGGTTTAAAACTACTTTCACCAGAATATGTTGCGTATTTAAATATAGGTAAATATTACACAGGAACGAATTTATAATTCTAGGAAAAAAGAGGCCATACTATTTGCATACTAAACTAATTTAATGTACCTGGATAGGATAGAATAGAATAGAATAGAATAATTTTTTATTCAATATACATAACATGTGTAATTCTTATTGAAAGTCATTTTTTACTTTACCACTGATTCGAAAAAAAACCCTCTGGCCCGGGAAGAACCAGCAAAAAACCCAGCGGGACTTTTTTTAAATACATTTTACAATATAAATGATTACGAACTATTTACAAAATTTATTTTAGAAACTGCTTGGAAGCGACCACCTCATTCCCAGGGGTTATTATCAACTATGAATTCATGTATACTATAATAAACCTTTTTATACAGTTTCAGTTTAATAAAACATTTAAACTTGGTAATTGAGAGAACCTGTACACTTTCCGGGACCTTGTTGTAATAGCGTATACATTGCCCCAAGAATGAATTACTGACTCTGTGGAGTCGAGAAACTGGCATCACTAGCTTGTGTTTGTTCCTAGTGTTTACAGAAACACTTTTTTTACTAAAACTATCTTTGTTTATGTGAACATACATTAAATTTTCGTAAATATACTGAGAGGCCAAAGTTAATATATTTATTTCTTTAAATTTATCTCTAAGAGACTCTCTCGGTATTAGATTGTAAATAGCTCTAATGGCCCTCTTCTGTAAAACAAAAATAGTTTCTGAATCAGCCGCATTTCCCCATAGCAAAATCCCATAAGACATTATGGTATGGAAATAACTAAAATAAACTAATCTAGCTGTCTCGACACTAGTGAGACCTCTAAGCTTTTTTACAGCATAGGCTGCAGAAATTAGTCGGCTTGCTTATTTGGATATATGGGGGCCCCACTGGAGCTTTGCGTCAAGAGTGATGCCAAGAAAAACAGTGGATACAACAGGGCTCAATTCCTCCCCATTTAAAAACACATTGGTATTCAGATTTTTAACATTCGTTGTTGTAAATTTAACACAATTAGTTTTATTTCCGTTCAAATGCAGATTATTAACATTAAACCAATGCACTAATTTTGATATAGCATTATTCACTTCGTCACATTAAATGATTGACGCTTAAGTTTAAAAATCAAGGAAGTATCATCAGCAAATAATACTACATCATGACTATCCCCTACAAGGTGAGGTAAGTCATTAATATACACCAGAAACAGGAATAGGCCTAGAATCGAGCCCCGAGGAACACCCATTAGTACAGGTGACCCGGAAGAACTTTTACCATTGATAATAACCTTCTGCTTTCTATTACTTCAATATGAAATAATAAGTTTAAGCGCTGTGTTCTTGACACCATAGTACTGTATCTTCCTGATTAATGTCTCATGGTGAACACAGTCGAAGGCCTTGGAAAGGTCACAAATATACCCAAAGCATCCTCTGATTTCTCCCATGCACAAAAAATATGTTTAATAAGCTCAACTCCAGCGTCAGTTTTCGAGCGACCCCTTGTAAAACCGAATTGATTTTTATGTAGCAATTTTTTTAATATTAAAGAAACTTAACATCTGATCTAAAATAATTTTTTCAAAAATTTTACTTAATGTTAATAGGTATGACTTTACTATGTTTCATTAAATCAGGAAACACACCAGATTCGACGCTTATATTAAATATAGTGGCTAGATAAGGTGCTATTATATCTATTATAGATAAAATAACTTTAACGGAAATTGTTT